TGCTTTTGTCTTTGGTTTACTGTAACAAAAGGCCTTTCAGTGTAGGTAGCTTTTCTGTTGTACAGAGGCACCAAAGCCCCCAGATTAACATCAGATGTTTTTCTAACCAGGCCTACTTTGCCCAGAAGTTATTAAGGAAAAACAGATACTCCCACAACATTCCCAAAGAAGATAAAATATTATCCGGAGTTGAGAGACTAAAGAGGGGGGCTGGGGGGAGATAGGAGAGGATGCCTCTTTTATAGAAGAATTGTGATCATTTGAATTTAGGCAACTCATGATTTCCTGTTTGATTTTTTTTTAAAAGAATAATTCGAAAGGTTTGGGGGAGAAACGGGGAACAAAAAGGGAGTTTGTTAAAGGGTATATTCATTATTTTAGAATAAAGACTTGTAGAACATATTAAAAAGGTGTTTTTATTAATTATTGTTGCCAAGGTAAAGGGCACTTTGAGGCTGTTTCAAACCATTCACACAGTTGCCTCACACTTAATAAACACTTATCCCTATTTCTTCCTCTTATTTCTTCTTCATAGTTAAGATTATACTTTTTCTTCATGACTTAATTTTGGTTGTTTCCCTATTCAAGTTGAATTATAATAGATGATTGGGGGGATATTAAAAGGTACACAAATGCTCATATCAAAAAATAAAATAAAAAAAAACAAAAAAAAACAAACAAATGCTCATATCATAAAAATAAGTATTTGATTATGATTTATAATGGACCTGACTAGCACTAGTCTTTTAGAGATTAAAACAAAAACAACTTGTTGAACCAGTATCTAGGATCACCAACTTGAGCTGGGTAGAACTTCTTCCCAAACCTGTGACTCTCCTTTTTATCAGATAAGAACCCAGCTCACATTCACTTCCTTTCTAAGTTAGATAACAGCAGGAGGACCTGATTGTGTCTTATCATCACGAACCCATTCAAAAGCAGAACAGCTTCCCAGCTTCCCAGTCTGCCTTGCTCTAAAACTGGGTCTCACAGCAAAGTGCCCGCAGTTGGTGCATTTACATTTTTTGGGTAGGTGTTGTACATTTACAGAGAATCCATACTTAGGGGAAAAAGCACACCTGCTTTTTTCATGTACAGAATCCACAGTCCTATTGGAGCAATCCTCTCTACTGTGGCCAGTAGACTTGCTGGAAACGGAAGGATAATTTTGAGACTCTGTAGGCTTCTGAGTTAAAGAATGGGATGCCAGGCGCGGGACTATGTGCCTGATTCTGGGGGAAGGCTCCAGAGGGCTGGCCTGCGGGCCCTTCCTGTCCCCTCCATCCCAATCCCAGACAGTTCTCTCTATCACGTTCTCTACTGTGCTTTATTTTAGATACTATACATTTTCTTTTTAAAAATGCATTAAATCTTAGTTTCAAATTCATTCTATGACAGCCATCCCTAGTAAACACAGCTCATTTTGGAATCAGTTAATTTATACTTAGTATGAATGGCATGGCCTAACTCCAAAGGTAACGAAAACAATTTGGGTGAGAGGAAAGATGATAATGGGTAGAGGAAATCAACAGTTTAACAGAATGGAATGCTTTTTGTCCCATAAAGTATTGATGTTGACAGTGAGGGCTCGTGGTCGTTCAGGGCAAGTCTCCTTGAGTGCCAATCACTTGTGAGACCCTAGGGCCACAACATCAAATGCTGCTAGTCATTGCGCTCCATAATGTATCTCAGAGAGGGAGCTATTGATTGTCATTAAGTATGTGAACTGTCCTGCTGGGGACAGAGCAGTCGGTCCAGAGGGAACATTCTGAGGATCTGAGTAGCAAGACAAGGGTTAGCACAGGTTCAGAGGGGACAGTTGCAGAGGCACTGTCCCTATGGGGACTGGGAATCTCTTCTTCCCTCCTTATATGTTTTTCACAGGTAAATGGCCATTATAAACAATCCCTCCATTCCACGGACTTTGAATTTGACCAGAAGCAGTTATCTAATAATGGTCACATTACATTGTCAATATGGAACAAGGTACTCTGTATTCCAAGCAACCACTTAATTAAATGCATAGAGCACTATCTGCCCTCTTACATTTAAAAGTAATTTCAAAATCCACAATTCTACTGTATTTGATTAATTGAATATAATTTCCTCTTTATCGTAGGCTGGAATGAGTGGGCAGAAGCGACAGGGATGGAAGCAACAATTGGGCATATGAAAAAGCTCTTAATAGAACCCACTTGATTTGGAAACGAAAGACCTGGTTGCTAGTCCTGGTCTCAGCTCATTCACTAGATCACTCTCATTCCCAGTTTCCTCCCCTGCAAAATAGCTATGAACTGATTGACGCAGGGATCTTCATGAAGACCAAATAAGAGGTTTTCAATTGGTTTTTGTTTTCTAAATTCTACATTGTCCCATTAAGGTAACGCAGTGATAACCTATGAGTAGGAAGCATTGAGAGGGACAGTAGGCTGCCTTCCCGGGTTGGAGGGTTTGGTTATTGCAAAATGCCAAACCCACTGCCATTCAGTGAATCTCAACTCACAGGGGCCCCGCAGCAACTGTAAATCTTTATGGTAGCAGACGGCCTCATCTTTCTCCCACGGAGCTATTAGTGGGTTTGAACTGCTATCCTTGTGGTCAGCAACCCAAGGCTTCACCAGGATTCCTTTTTTGTTTAGTAAAACCACCTGCCTTTTGACTCATAGCAACCCTGCAGGACAGAACAGGCCTTCTCCCTGGGTTTCTGAGGCTGTAACCGTGCACTTAGCAGCCCAATTTGTAAGCCATGACACCAAACCCACTGCCGTCCAATCATTCTGGCGCATAGCGACCCATCAGGACAGAGCAGTCTCTGTGGGTTTCCGAGATCATACATCTGTATAGGCAAAGAAAGCCTCATCTCTCTTCCAGGGAGCTGCTGGTGGTTTTGAACTACTGGCCTTCTAGTTATCAGCCTAATCTATAACCACTATGTCATCAGGGATCCTCATGGCTCCTTAGAAGTGTTCATGGGTATGAGGGAAGCATGGAATCTTATGACTTTTAGTTTGTTATTTTTAACTTTGCTGTTTATTAGTCACGTGACCGTAGTCAAATTGTATGTCCTCTTTAGGCCTGCCTCATTTTTCTCAACTGTTAAATGAAATATTGTGAGGAATAACTAAGAGACATTAATAGCTTATCAATGTCTGGTGCAGTTAGCACTTCTTGAAAGTCAACTATCCAGCATAATAATAATTATTAGTATTTTTATGTTTGTTATTAAAAATGACCGCCTAGAAAAAAATTGTAGAGAGGGTTCAAAAATCAAAAAAATGATTGGAACACATGATTTGTTAACACGGAAGTTCAAGTTTCTGTGCTTTTTAAAGTTTGTGTTTACAGTCAAGTCCATACTTCAGATCTATGGAGTAAGCAGTATAAAGGAAGAAAAGTCTACACTCTGTCTACTTGAATCCTTCATTCCCAGAAGGTGAAAGAAGTTTTCACACTTTAGTAGAAAAGCGTGAATACCCCTTTCAAATACTCATTGCCACTAGAGTCAGTTTCCTCCCATGTGACCCGCGGAGTGCCCCAGTAGAACTTCTTTCCATAAACTCTTCAATGTCTGACTTTTAGGAGATAGAGCACCAGGCCTTTCCTGCAAGGCACCTCTGGGTGGACCTGAACCACCACCCTTTCAGTTAGCAGCCTGGTGTTTTGACCATTTGTACCACCCAGGAACCACAGTCCTAAACTTACATAAATAAATAAACAAAGGCAGTTCACTGCCATCGAATTGACTCTGACCCCTGGTGGCTCTTACAGAACAGCAGGCAATGGCTCTGATGGGTTTCCAAGGCTGTAAATCTTTACAACAGCAAACTCTCATCTTTTACCCATGAAGTGGTTGGTGGATTGAACCACTGACCTTTTGGTTAGCAGCCCCAAACTCACATAACCCAGGACCTCATAGACCTCATAGAGAAGAGCCACATTTGCCAGGAAATAAGAACCAGCCCAACCATGACCTAGGAAGTCAAACCTTTTCTCTTTGACCCTCTTCCTCCTCCCATCAGAATTGTCCATTTCTGGGCTGGGCAAAGGAGACGTGTCTCAGTAGGGGTCTGATGGAGCGCTTTGCTGTACTCCATCCAGCCTTCCCACACCTTGTTTGTGCCAAGAGTAGTAAATGCTGGGCACCAAACTGGTTTGATAGCCTGGAGCTGCACACCACCCACCAGTACCCTGCGGGCTCAGTACAAACTGAGCCCAGTTGGGGAGAGTGAGCTGGCATGTTGATGGTTTGAAAATTAGAAAGGAGAATCAGCCTCCTGTGTGAAATTTACTTTTAGTTTAGTATGTTTTGAGGCATAAATTTAGAGGATTTAAGGTTTTTTTTTTAAATGTAGAGCATATATTAACTATTGTGCGCTAAAATATTCTAAAATGGCTCGATGGGTTACTTATTTTTACAATCCAGATCTAATCGTGAAGATTTTATTTTTATTCATTTGTATTACTCTGAATTTGGAAGCCCAAGCAAATGCAAAGTGGTTCATTAGTTGAACTCTACTGTAATTACTAAAGCTAATGAGAACAATATTTTGAATGCCAAAGCCAATTTATCAGCTACTTCTTGTAACAGAACAATTTATGTCTTTTTTCCCCCCCCCCAGAGGAAGTCTTCAGTGCCTACTCTGCTCTGTGGTGGTCTCCAGGCGGCACTTTTTTAGCATATGCCCAATTTAACGACACGGAAGTCCCACTTATCGAATACTCCTTCTACTCTGATGAGTCACTGCAGTACCCCAAGACGGTGCAGATCCCGTACCCGAAGGTCTGTGCTCCTCCCTGCATCATGGTTCAGTGATTGGAGGGGAGGAGAATGGTTTCATTTAAACCCTTCCTGCTAATGAAAATATTGTCAGTCTCTCTTCAACAGCTTGCTGTGATTACTCTTGCAGAAGTCAACAGCATCTGGCAATTTTAAAGTATTTTTATTATCCCAGGAAAGAGTGTGATTTAAGGTTTTGTAATGTCTCCAAAAACTTTGAGGAATGACAAGCAGAGAGAGATGGGAGAAATGCTTTTGAAAGAGGTAGGGGTGATGGAAATGTTCGAATGCAGGCAAAGGGAGACTGTAATTGATTCAGAAGCTCATCTCATTTGCAGGAGCCGGAATGTGCACTCGAAGAATTTGAAAGCTTGGTGGTGGATCACATATTATGGCTAATTAGCCAGTTACCTGAGTAGCTTTTACTGGTCCAATTGTAGATTTACCACTAACGTAAGCACAGCAGGCCCTACATATTGAGTAACAGGGTCAGGCCTTAACTTGCAAGGCTGTTTCCCCTGTCTACGTTTCATGTTTATTTAAAAGAAAGCTTTGTTAAGCAGTATAAAGCAGGAAAGAGGAAATGTTATTTTTTAAAAAAGTGTGCAGACATCTGACCTCCTCTCATGTCACAAGGGAGAAGGAAAGTCACTGTCATGGGCAGAGCTGCCCAAAGCCCATTCCTGTGAGGCTGAGGTCAGGCATGCCTCCACCCTCCAACCTCCTTACCAATTCTGACATCAACGCTCTCGCACAGCACTCTCTGCTTTTTAGCTGAGTTTGATCATTCTTTGCAATGGTCACACACAACTCACAGAACATAGTTACCATTATGGGGTGCATTGCGACGTTAACAGATGATAACTAGGATGAGAAATCCTTAGGCCAGCCTCTTCTCAGCCAGGCCCATGGGCAGGCCTCTCTCTGGTCTTTAGTTTCTGAGCCACCTGGCCCCCTGGCTCAGCCCTGTAGGGGTCATGTTCTCACTGCCATTGGGGGCATTCTGACTCCTAGTGACCGTGTGGGACGTAGTAGAACAGCCCAGAGGCTTCCGAGACTCCCCCCTACCCCCTGCTTTTCTTTTGTTTTGTTTTATTCATCCATATATCAAACAATTCAATAGTTCAGTCCTATCTAGAAGAGTTGTACAATCATTACCATAATCAAATTTAGAACATTTTCTTCTTCCTTGTACTCATTGTTATTTATGTAATTATTTTTGAGATGCTTTATGGGAGTGCAAAACCTTATCTTTCCCCCTCCGCATGGTTGGTGGTTTTGAACTGCTGACCTTGCAGTTACCAGCCCAATGCATGACTGACTCACTACACCACGAGGGCTCTGGTTGGGGGTCACGCTACAAAGCTTTTTTAAGACTCTGCTGATAAATGTCCAAAAGCGCAGTCTACTCTGCCTTAAACCTCAGTCCAAAGGCTTTGGGCTCTGGCTGTGTGGGTCAGCCAGCCTAGCTCCCCCAATTAAGTGCCTGTAGGTACCCCACTGCACACGGGAGCTTCTTGCTCAAAGGCACTCAGCTGGACGCTCTCTGTGGGCCAGGAAGCCCACCACTTTTTCTCAGGCTCTGGCTTTGCTGTTGGGGTTCTCTAGGACATCTTTAATGTCACAGCTTTCTGTCCTGGATCAAAGAGGTTCACCCTGCAACGATCTGGGGCCTGAGAAAATGGCAAGGAAGCCACATCTGACCTTTTGCTAAGAGAATCCATCTTCACACTAGCCCAAGGCCAATTGCCACAAGGCAGAGATCAAACGTGCCTCTCCCTTCCCTCCTCCTGTACATATATTCTGACACCCACCGCTCCTCCCACCAATTCGACTTCTCCACTGGGTTCAAAAACCAATTGCAAGAGCCACACAGAACTCACTGACAATACTTACATTTATGGAGGTTTATTTGGGAAGTTAACTGGTTACCACAATCCAGGATCAGAAAGCAATAAGGTTACAATTATTGGTCACCACACTGCCTCGCCTCAGCCAGCAGTCAGATCTCTTTCTCTGGTCCTCAGCCTCTAAGCCACCTTGTCCCTCTGCCTCTGCCTCTGGTGGCCAGAAAACCCACACATGACTCTGCCTCACAGCCTCATCGTCTTGGCACTCTTCCTCTGCTGGGGTCTCGCTGTGGCCCAGCCTCAGCTGCCTCCACCACTTGTGCAGGAATTCTGAATCTCAGCTCTGCTGATGGCCCTTCTGCCCTGCTTGTGCTGGGGATTGGCTCTCTGTCTCTGTTTCCAAGGTGGTTCTCTGGTTCACCAAGGAATGGCAACCCAAACTGACCAATCCCTTCCAGTGTTTCCCATACCTATTTGCATACTTCACCCAATCATTTGGTGGACGTTACATAGATATGGATAGAAGAGCCATGCTAAGAAATGGCACTTTACCACAGGAGCAGTCCAAAGAAGCTGCTCCATGCTTGGCTCCCTCTTCTCTTGTGATGGTAGTAAAATCGCACCTGCCTGCTTCTGAGATGATGCGGAAGGATGGCCAATCCCCTTCCTAGAGAGCTATGTTTTATACAACCACGACGACCTTGCTAACAATCAATCACAATGGAATCGTATAACCCCATCAGTATGTTCCCCTGCCCAGGCGGTCAGGAAAAAAGGTTGTTTGATGGGAGGTAGAAAGATGGTGGCTACAAGAGTCAATTAAGTAATTCACTGCAATGCAAGACACCAGAGACTGTCCACTAGAACCATAACAGAGACAGCAACATTATGGTCTGTTGAAAAATCTAATGGTAACGCATTTCTGCTGAGAGGAATTTGGGAAGCAGAATTTTATTTTTATCAACTCATGTAATTTGCTTTATGTAGAGCTGCCATTTCAGGAAGACGTTGGATGTTAAACTACACCAGAGGCTAAATATGGAAATCTGTTTGTTAGTCAAATGTTATTTTTTGAAGAGTGAAACTGGCACACAAAAATCAAAAACAAAAGCAAAAAATGTAAACTATTCTCACTGAAAATACTGTATTATATCAAGTGACTGCTTTGATTGAAGGCTTACTATGACAAAGATCTATAAAGCTCTCTTTACATGTAAATTTCAACCAAATTACAAGGGTTTTCTAGATTTTTTTGCCAAAAAATTGATTTTGAAGCTGCAGCCTGGTGAACCTGGACACGGGCTTAAAATGATAGTCTCATAATTAGGATCATTGGCCCGCAACTCCGATAAACCAGTTTTCCTGGCAGATTACCTTTGGCTGAACTCAGCGTAAGCTTCATAGTAAACGCTCATCAGAAACCTCATCATGGCATGCGGAGTCAAGGCGTATTAGAAAATAATAGAATTGATTTCACGAGGTTTATTGTCTCTTGCATGAAGCAATATATTCTGAATATCCATTATTTAACTAGGAGTGCTTTGGGCCTTTACGTAATATACATTTTTCTGCCTGAATGTGAAAGAATCACATAGCTCAACTTTTCACTTTACTTAGACTAAATTATTTGAATGTGTCTGGTTGCTAACATTAATGATTATAGTGCCCAAATTATTATATGATTTTACATTCATGAAATGATGTCATCTTTTATGAATTAATTTTTTTTATGAATCAATCTCTTGATGATTTTTTCTAGGCCGGAGCTACAAATCCAACAGTGAAGTTCTTTATGGTAAATACAGACACCTTCAGCCCTGATGCCAATGCAACTTCCACACAAATCACGGCTCCTGCTTCTGTCTTAATTGGGTAAGATTCTTGACTGAATGCCTGGGTTGCAAGTAGTTTCATCGCTCCCAAGAACTCCAACCAATGAGTAGCCGAATCCATTACAGTCTCCTTACCTGCTGTGCCGGCAGTTATGCATTCATTCAACAACTCTTTGTGGAGCTCCTTCATTCAGTGATGAGACTCCCGGTGTGCTTCAAGATGTCACTTGCTTAAATAGCACTTGGTGGATTGAAAGGTGTCGATCATGCACCTCCATCCCCAGCGGCTTTTCCTATACAGATAACCACGATATGGGGTGTCATGCTTGGCCATTAAATAGCTCTTCATTGGTTTTATTTTTATGTTTAAATAACAACTGGCACATTTGGGGAGTTCCTGGATGGTACAAATGTTTGATGTGCTCAGCTGTTAACTGAAAGATTAGAGGGTCAAGTTTACCCAGCAATGCCTCTGGAAGAACATCTGGGATATATGCCAAAAGTTTTTTTAAAAAAAGAAAAGAAAGAAAAGCCATTGAAAGCCCTTTTGAGCAGAGTTCTGCCCTGACATCCATGGGGTCCTCCATGCATTGAGACTGACTTGGATAGTAACTTGTATCATTTTGTCTTTAGCCTCTATTGATCACTCAGCAAGAACAAAGCACAGGGCATTGTCAGATGCCTTATCTCACTAACTTTCCAATCACTCTCTTTATTACAACTGCTAGAGTTTAAGACATTGACCCAGCAGGAGTCTTTAATCAAACCTGTTTTTCTGGCTTGAAAGAAAAAAGCCTTTGTGTGAGGAAGGCTCAACCCTACAGATTCCTGTAGGGATCATCAGAGCAACGTGCAAGCATCCGCTTTCCCTGATGTTGCATTACCCATGCCACGCATGCTGTTTGCTTGGTGCTTAGTAATTTGGTCAGAAATATCTGTATGTACCTATTAAATCTGAGCCAAAATTAGTTTAAAGGTGTTTTCCCCCCATGTTTGTACACACACACACACACACACACACACACACACTCTGCCATTGAATGTCTTTTGGAAAAGATATAGCTTAATGGACTCAGTGACAGATTTCTCTCAGGAGCAGCTGGTGGGCTTGACCTGCTGACCTTGTGGGTTGCAGCCCAATGCTTACTCACTGTACTATGAGAGCTCCTTTACGTTTGTCAAAGGTTATAACAATTTACCTGGATTCTCTAAAATCTGCTTTCTTGTACCCTCTGCCCATCGGTTCAATTAAATTTGGTAGAGCATCCACTTTTCTTGGTCACAAAACAGGGACTAGGACAGAGGCCCATGGACTGTCAGGCTACAACACTTAAATAGTGGTGTTACTATACGGTGAGCACTCACTGCCGACTGGCATGGCGCCTCCCATGTGTTCTGCTTGGGTTGCCGCATTTATTACCCACAAGCACCCCATGGATCATTTTCACAGCCATTCTACAGATTGAAGAACAAAGTCTTTCTGATTTAAAAATCATTTTTTCCCAAAAGAAGTTAATTGTGAAGCGCTGAGGTCAGCAAACTGAAGCAACCCTGAGGGTTTGGCTTTCGCCCCGTCTGAATTCATCTTTACCCTACTCATGGGGGGGTGGGGGAGGGTAGCCGCACTCACTGGGGATGGTGTGCGTTGGATGCATTTGCCAAAGAAACGCTTTCAGAGACACCACAAGAGTCGAGTGTGTTTAAAAGACATTTAAAATACTGCTCTAGTCTCTGTTAACATCAGCAAGCTTGTAGCTCTGCCAAAACTAGGCTCGAGGTCCTCCCTGGGGAAATGATCTAGTTCTAGTCCATCGTGATGCACTGGTTTTCTGGCCACAGGCAAAGATCCAGCAAATGCCAAGTTAATCCCAGCGAGTTGTAGTGTTTAGGGAAACGATCTCCCTTGTGTTGCCTGGTAATTCATTATTCCCTGAAATAGGAGTCCTTATAAGACTGGCACGTTTCTTCCCTCCTGTGTGCCCGGGCTTCTGTATTCATTATCTCCTTAGTCTATGTCCTTCTGACTCCAGCTTGCCATGGTGAAAGCCTGTAGAAGGCTGATTTGTCATTTTGATAGAATTGGGAAGAAACAGGTGGGCCTATTGCTCCTCTGGAAACACGTGAAAGGGGAATACAGATCACTCTTCAAGTGCCCAGTCTGCCACCCTGCTTGATTTAGCACTAAAGTGGATTATATTTATTAAGCTGTACATTGGTGTTGACTGCTCATAATTGGGTGGCTATGGGGGTATAATTCTTATCTTTCACACAGGGGACCAAGCCTTGATTCTTAGCAAATGCACCTCATGCACAGCGACAAGCTGTGAGTGGATGATTGTGTATTGCTACATTGCTGATCTGGTTCCAGCAGAGTATCCAGGCTAAGAAGGACTAGAAAGAAAGTCCTGGTGGTCTTCCACGGAGAAGCCAGTGCTCGTCTTAAAACAAGTAGCCATCTAAGTGAGATGTCAGGCAAATCTGCATGGAAGAAGCACACCAGCCTATGTGATGGAAGAATTGTGAAGAATTAAAATGAACCTCGGAGGAGGGAACAGTTTGAGCTTAAATTCTGAACACCTGGTTTGCAGTAGACTATGGATGACAGTGATAGTCCAAAACTCATTCATAGGGTCCCCCGTTCAGATTAAACTTGTGGTGAGTCC